ACGAGTGGCGCTGCTTGAAGGCCTCCAGGTCTGCGGGAACCAGCGCGTGGGAGCCGAAGGGCAGCCTGGCCTCGCTGCCCCCCACGGCCCCCTCCAGGATGGGAGGGTCGGGGGGCGGATGGGACGGCCGCGCGTGGTGCACCTTGGGCCTCACCACGGCCGACGCACCTGCGGCACAGCACAAAACAAACCACACGTGAGAGTCTGCCAAAGCACCTGGTGCTAACAGAGAATGAGCAAAAGTGCCTGTTTTGTAAAACTAGCTTAGTTTTCGCAACTCACCCTCGTTCGAGGACAGAGGGTCAAACAACGCAAGCAAAGAATCTGTCTGGGAAGGAGGAGATGTCAACTGACTGGCTCCTGCAATATAGAGGACAAAGTTAGTGCTTTGTCACAACTGCCCACAACAGGAGAGACACTGGGAAAACAGCCCTCAGGAGTCCACAAAACCTACACAGCAGAGTCCCTGCAATGGAAATTTGTGTGGAAAGATCTCTGTAGCACATTGAAATGGCCAAAGAATTGCATGACAAACAGTGGGGAAATCCTGGGGAGCAGCACAGCTCCAAAAGGCAAGAGGACAGTCAGTATAACCAAACTGAACTGGGGACAGGTGATCTCAGATCTAGCACTCAGTCTCTAGCACTGCAAAGCACTGGAGTCTCTTAGCCCCACACACACACAGTGCTGGCGAACAAGGAGAATGTTCAGCTTAGTCACCAGCACTCAGAAATTGGGAGAAACTATGGAATTTAAGGATTCTACAAGTGTCATTTGTGATTGCCAGAGATTCTGGGTAAGTAACTTACCATGAGCTGTTTCATCCATGTCAGGGCTTGTCACAGAATCTTTTCCCCCAAAGTCAGAGCTACATTCAGACCTGAGATCCTCAATCTTGTTAGGAATATCTTCAGATGTTGCACTAATACCTTACACATAACAAAAGAAGCATCTGTAATAGCCTTTCTTCCAGGGAGCAAGGAAACAAAATCCCGAGGCTGTTTCAAGGTTTGGTGAATGCTCCAATAACCAAGCCCTAACTCACAGCAGCTCCTACAAACACTCTGCATTTCTGTGCTCCTAAAAGAGCAGCTTATTTCTGCTCTGCATCTTCAAGTTTTAACCCAGCCATGAACATACTCCAACAAGAGGCATTAGAGAAAGACACTTCACTTTGCAGAAAATGAAGAACTAAAAATATGCTGATTTACTTCTCTGAAAAAAAGTTGTGATAATAAAACTAAACACAAGAAAGTTTGGAGTTTCTTCCACATCACTTCCAACACTACTCTGCTACCATTGCTACTGCAGCACAGAGGATGCAGCACAGAGCTCTGCTGTTTTATTTCCTCTGTAAGGTGAACAGAGAATCACTGCTTTGAAAACACCAGATGAGAGCAGGGAATTATTTCATGAGTGAAATGGTGTGTAACTAAAGCCCACACAGCAAAATGAGTGCTGATAGTGCTGTGGTAGAACAGTGTGTTTTGGGAGACAGGGAAACACACCTGACACCACACTGAGGCCTGGTGTGCTGGGCCTAGAGCTGACCTCCCGCACATCCGTGTCGTCAGAGGTGCTCCCCAGCCCAGAACAGCTCTCCAGCTCCTGCAGCCTCTCCTCCTGTTTCAAGTCTGGAGCCTCTACAAAGGGGAGACAACAGAGAGGAGAAAGTATCATCACTCAATGCCATGCTGCCCTGACATGCACATGCAGAAGGAAGGGGGTGCTGGTTTAGTGCCTCGAGTTCTGAGCTAACCCCACCACTTCAGCCAGTTTTCTTACAATGTTTTTGCAGAAGGCAGAACTCTGCACAGAGAGCAATACTGTCTGCACAGAGAGCAGTGCTCTGTCTGCATGGGCATGCTAAGAAGTGTGCACTGTTTCAAGTGTCGCATTTCTCAGACACAACAGTATACAGCCACATCTTCACTGACCAAAGTCAATGGTGGTCCTGGACAGCCCCACTCAACATCACAGGGAAGGAAAGCAAGCACAAGTTTGCTTTGCAAACCCTTCTCTTCCCCTTCGGCCCGTAAGAAGTTCTTAAGCAACAGTAAGTCTCTCCCAGTGCTTTCCATCTTCTCTCTGCCTAGGAACAATTTGTCCTTTCAATCCTGGAAGGATTCACAAACACTGTTTTAACCCTGGGACAGCAATTTCTTGAAGAAAGAGCAAGAGGCTGCTGGTTTGCATTGTGTGCCTCTAGAAGAGTTTTAGAACCATGCTAAAGAAATAAGCAAAAACTGCTCAATTCTGACCTGAATCACTCGGTAATACTTCCACACTCCACGCCTCACTTGTGGTTTCTGATATGGTTGAACCTGTGCAGGGATCAAGCAACACGGATCCTGAACCTGGTAAACACAGCAAGCTGCCTAGCATGTTCTCTGCAGCTGCACCTGCAAAAGTAAAGCCGAAGCGTCCAGCTAGAGCTAGGCTGCCTGGAGACAGCTCTAACACGAGAGACGAGTGGGACACACTCCCAGTGTCCCTGCTAAAGCAATCAGGAAAGGCAATGCTGAAGAGAAAGGAGCGACTGAATACGCCCCAGGTCATGCAGACAAACTCCTGCTGGAGAAGAGCTGCGCTCTAAGCCCTGGGAGCACCTAAGAAAGGGAGGAGGAGGGCTCTGCTGCCTGCGCTCCGAGCAAGCCAAGCACCCCACGTACCAGCTGGAGCACCGAGTTACCTGCGATCTCCTGCAGACGATCCTCGTCGATGTTGGGGTCAAAGTCACTCCCCAGCACATCTGTGCTCCAGGTCTCGCTCACAGTCTCCGATATATCTCTGTCATCTGTCAGACCCATCATGTCGCGGATTTCAAACTTGCGCAGCTTGTCGTCCAGGTTGTCCTGAGTTGTGGCTGTGGAAAACAAACAGTTCTCAGCTGTCTGGAAGGATTCTCCAGCTGCCTGGACTGAAAACCTGGAGGAGCACATCATAGGGAAAACCCAATCAGCCAAGGACTGCAGAGCACCATTACAGGGCTCCAGAGATGCTGCCTGAACACGTGAGATGGAAGGAGGAAAATCTGGATGTACACGTGGTGACTACACTGATGGACAAATGAAATGCAGTGCTACCAAGGAACTGACACAGCTCCTGCTGAGGCTCCCTGAGGTCATTCCAGCCCAACCCCCTGCCCTGGTCAGGGACAGCAGGTTCCTCACAGTCATGTCCAGTCATTTCTCCAGACAACCTCTTTGGACAGCCTGTTCAGTGTTTGGCAAATGGACATTAAACAGGAAGCTATCCAGATGCTTTCGGACCACTCCAATCCAGGTCACTCTATTCCTGATGGGAGAAGCTTGGTATCAAGCAAAACTTTACCACCAGATTCCTGTAAAGGACTTGAGCCTTAAAATTCCAGGTGATTTCCTTTTCCTAACAACAGACTACAAGAAATATTACTTGGGGAAAAAAAGCACCAGAACAAACCAAAACCATAAATAAATGCAAGACTGACTGACTGAACCAAGAAAACAACTCCATTTTCCCCTGAAGGAGTCAGTTTTGCTGCCCCTTCCCACAGGACGTTGGCCCTCCCACCTGCAGCCCCTCAGGCCGTGGGACAGCTCTGGCACCTGCCTTGCTCGTGCTCCAGGAGCTGCAGGGCCTCGACGCCGTTGCTGCCCGAGGGACCTGCGCCGAGCTCCGACACCGACTCCCCCTCCAGGTCCAGGGACGACACTGAGTTGGAGCGATTCGAAGGACCTGGGAAAACACATTGGACTCTACATCTAGTCTGAGTAACAGCTCCTAAACACACAGCACTAACACTCTGGGGCACAGGTCACCAGGAAACAGCCTTTGCCATTATTTTGCCTCCTTAGAATCATGGAAAAATCCAGGCTGGAGGAGACCTCTAAGATCACTGAGTCCAGTGAATTTCTTTTCTTACTTTGAGGAGACAGAGAGCAAATATTAAGTTATGGAAGTTGTACAAAGTAATGGATGAGTATCCAAACCTCCTCCATCCCACAGACACCTGTGTTTGGTCTGAGGTTCACATACAGGACTTGTTCAGAGCCCAGAACTATTCTGAGATATGTAACAGTTTACTAAAACATGACACAAAATCAGCCTGAGAAGTCCAAGTTTAGAGCTAAGTTAGATTATCTTGACTAGTACTGATTTAAGTTTAAAAAAATAACTAAAATCCCTCTGTTTTCTCTTTCTAAGCACATTCAGTTTTTCTCTTCCCAATTCTCAGACTCAGTTATGCCTTTGTAGGACAAAATTTACCTCCAGGCTTTTTTGTCTGAACAGCTAAGAGAAAAGAAGCTCTCAGGGTGAATCAGCACAGCCCTCACAATGGCAAAGACAACATGTATTTAGCACGTGCTCCTTTTAGAGTTAAGGGGTTAAAAGAACAACAACAGAGCAACAAAACTTCCAGAGCAGCCCTTCACCTTCAGATATTCCTTCCAGATTATCACTGCAGAGGGAAAAGCGCAAGGTTTTATCAGGTTTACCATGGAGCTTGTTCTCGTCCACAGGGACATCTCCTTGCCCACCTTCTGCCAGCTGCATATTTAAGACCTGGAGAGTGGGGGAAAGAAACAAAACTTTCTTGAAATCATCTGCTTCTCAGACAATGAAATGTCAGATAAAACACCGCAGATGTGTCTTTGCACTTAGTGGCACAGTGGAGTCCCTAACGTCCTGTTCAGCAACGTCCCAGCTCAGAGCCTGGGAGAGTGCAAGGAACCACCCTGAAACACGAGGCAAGGCCTGATAACAGGGGAGCAGCTCCTGCTCACCCTGCAGAGCTGAGCTGTGCCCAGAGAAGGAAGAGGCTCCAGCAGCAGCACTGCCCACCCTCGGGCACAAGCTGCAGCACCGAGGGCAGAGTGAGCACAGCTCTGCCCCGACAGGAGCTCAGCCTGTGCCTCCCACCCCGAGCTGCCATCTGTGCCCCAGCTCTGCATCTTAAGCAAGGGGAAAAAAAACACCTAACAGAGGGAATTGGAAAGCTATGACTCCCCAGTTCAGCAACAAAGCATTGTAATTCCCATTCCCAAAGCAGCACCACGACCTCCCTGTTCCATGGCTGGAGCAGACAGTGCTCACATCTCCCCAGGTGCCATCGCTTCCCATACCTCATTTTCAGACATCATTCCAGGGGTGATCTGGGGACCTGTCCCCAAGGAAATCACCAGCACTTCTTCAGGCTGAACTTCTGGGATGGTCTCCTGGGAGGATCCCTCGTGATCTCCGTGCTGATCCAGCAGCATGTTTGATCTACTTCTGCTACGAGTTGCTGAGAAAGTGTTGAAATACCAACATTAGGAATCTTTTCCGCCTTTAAGGAGGAAAACAAGACAATACAATGGAAATACAGAACTGCAGTGCTTTAGTTTCACAAGTAAACCTACAAAATCAGTCTTATTAAACTCTGAGAGGTGGAACTGGTGTTTAAGTCTGAGCAGTGCCCTGTGAGGAAGGAAACACTCAGCACAAAAGTTGAGAGAAACAAGGTGCATGTCCTGTTTGTCTGCACAAATTCAGTGTATTCCAATCACACAAAGACATGGAATATATTATATGAGCAAATTAAGTTAGTTACCAACAAAAAAGGTCTATGCTTCTGTGGTTTAAAACACTAAATTATTTGTTTAGAAGGTTTTTACTCCTAAAAAGCAGGACATCTTATTCTAAGAGATGTCTCAAGCCCAGACACACACCCCACATCAGGGGGTTTATTCTGATTATTTTGCGACTCTCTAGTCGTGTTCTCAAGTGGCCTCAGATTCCACGTTAGGCTCCATGGAAGGAAAAAACCCCCAGGGAATGAGGATTTCTTGGTGTGGCAGCATGACACCAATTACTTATTGGATCAAGGAGAACAGGCAAGTGTGCAGAAATCCCAGCCAAACAGCGACCACCACACAAAGGCACAGGAGGGGGTGGAGAACCACAGGTGCACACAGTGAGTCTCACACAGAGATGAGCAGAGAAGCCTGGAAAGGGAAGTGATTGCCAGGGGAGCCCAAAGCCTTAGCCCCAACATGCTTAGGTCGTGTGCCATGAGCCGAAGTTTCCCCGAGAAGACAGAAAGGGCAGTACCCACCAAAAGGGGTTACTAGGGTTATGTGAGCTGACAGATTGGTGGCAGAGGTGTCCCAGGCAGTAATCGCTGCCAATTGCTGTCCTGGATGGCGAGAGCATTAAAACGAAACAAAAGAAACAAAAGCTTTGAGCAAAAGCTATTTCAGACCACAAGATAAATTGCTGCTGTGCCACTACTTTGCAGACCCGTTCAGAGCTAAACCAACGTGGGACAGTCTGTTTTGGGGGCTTTGCTGCTTATCAGGCTCTGCAGAGTTTCATCCTTTTATACACCCACACCAAGTCTCAAGCAAAAACACCTTGTGTGGTCACACTCAAATACACACTGAGAGGAACACTACCTGTTTGAGGGGCAAGTGGTGTTAGTATGGGAAAGTTCAAGACACAGAAATCTTGTTTGGAAAAACTCCAACCAACATAAAATTGCATTCCAGAACACTGACAGTCAGAATCAGAGTGGGCAAATAACGGGGCAGGAGAGAGTTTCTCTTCTCAGCACAGACTCCTGGTCCTGCTTGCTCATCCTCCTCGCCATTTGTTCTCTTCTGAGACACGAAAGTGCTAAACTCACTCTATCCAACAATCAAATGTCTCTGCTTCCACCTTACCACTTTGCTAAGCAATTTTCCCCCTAGATCTGCTTCCCATCTCCAAACTTTGCCTTTGTTACCACTGCCAATCACTACCATTATGACCATCAACTACTCCAGTGCTCTCTTCAGGTTCAGTCTGGAGGGCTGAAGCTCACCATAATTCCATCAGGGAGTGAGGAAGTTGCTTTGCTTTCTATGCTAAAGGAAATTCTTCACTATTTACAAGGAAAAGGTAAGAACTGAAGGTGTAGGGGAAGAGCAGCCCCAAGAGAGGACAGAAAATGGCACAGAGAAGGTCCCAAGGTGTCAGAGATCAGGCAGGAACTGTTCACCCTCCTTACCTATGGGCAACCTGTTCTTTTTGTTGGCTGGAGTGGTTGCAGGAGAGAGCTGGGGGGTGTTATAGGGGGTCATTTCAAGGCTGCTGCTTTTCCCTGGCTTGTTCTGGGGTAGGTTTGCCAGCAGGTTTTCCAGTGCCATCCGATCCTCCTTGAGCTGGTCGCTCGACATGACGTTGCGCATGAAGCCAACCTAAACGGTTACAGAGAGCAGTGCAGGGATCAGCCCAGCTCAGGGGCCAGGTCACACCACTCCTCCTGGAGCTCTGAGGCATTACCAGGGCAGTGAGCTGGCTGTAGGTCACGTACACCACCGTCCTGCTCAGCCCCTCCAGGAGGTTCACCGCCGACAGCGGAGGAGTTTCAACCGCGCGCCCGTCGATGACCACGTCCAGGAAGGCAGCAACACAGCTCTGCAGGGAGAGAGAGGCTGCAGTGAGAGACCATTTCCTAGAGCTTGGAAAGCAACTTGTGACAGGAGTTGGGCAGTTTACAGAACAATGTAAGTTTTGCTTCCTGCTTTTAGACTCTCAGGACGAAACAGCACATATCATCAGAGCCAGAGGAGCAGCAAGGAGTGGGTGCACTCAGCTCTAGCACCTCCCTCGTTCCTTCCCTGCATTCACAAGTGTCACTTAAGGGTCTTCTCACAATCCTTACAAAAATTTACACTGTTTTATGCCAATTAAACTGCCTCTTCCTGGAGAATCTGTTGAGCACAGACCAAAAGTGAAATGAGGAAGCAACACATTATATCACTTTCCAATCTGATTGAATGTCACTTGTGTCCTAATGTGCAGCTTTGTGTGATGACTGGAACAATCAGAACTAGCAAAAACCTTGAAGCTACACAGGGATATCAACAGGTGTTTGAAATCTGACAACACAGCAAGGTCATCAGCCTCACTGCTGCTCTGATGGAGGGAACTGCTCCACGGCTGGGGGTGATTCACACCAACAATGGAAAAGCTGAACCAAAAAGGAAAACCATGCAAAAAGGAACAGAAATTACTTGCACTGACAAATGACTTGGCGATCAACCAGACTCCATACTAAAGCTGTCTCCAGACCAAAGTGCTTTGTTTAGGCTCAGTTGGAAAACCACAGAGAGTAAGTCAGTGTTTTCTAGAATGGCAGGATGGTTTGGGTTGGAAGGACCCTAGAGCCCTTCCAGCCCAGCCACTGCCATGGGCAGGGACACCTCCCACCCGGCCAGGCTGCTCAGAGCCCTGTCCAGCCTGGCCTGGAACACTCCCAGTACTCGGTTAAAAATGTCATTTGCTTTCATTTCTGGTTTAGCATTTGCTTTTAAGAAGTGTCAGCTCAGAGCAGAAGGAAAAATCCCCCAACCCTTAATTCTAGCACTCAAGATTTTTTTTTCCCCTAGCTTTGTGCAGGATTTAATCTGCTTTTCAGTACATGTAACTTGGAAGTTAAATGCTCAGTAAGTCCTTTGCAGTGTCTGAGAGAGGAGACTGCAGGAGGATGATGCTGTATTCACCAAGTCTTGGGTTTTTCAGCCTGGATTCTTACTTTGTCAAATTTAGCAAGGTTGCTCTTGGTGTGTGGATCTCCCTCTTCGGAGCCTGTCATGGCCAGCTGCTGCAGAAGCCTCCCAACCTGGAATGCAAGAGAAGTGCAAGGAATAAGCCTTTCAAAACAGCATGATGGGCCTTATTACAAAAAACACTCAAAACCCTCCTCCTGTCTAAATCCTTTTTCATTTCCTACTCCGAGAAATACTTCCAGTTGAATGGAGAGTCCTGTGCTTGCTTTCAGGGCAGGAAAAATGCAAGAAGCTTCAGGAAAAAAGCAGCCACTGCATTGGAGAAGCAGAGCTGCACACACAGTATGCTGTGAGCATCCATACTTCCCCCTCCCAGGAACAAAGCATGTTTTGTTTTTACAGCACGTCACAACTCAGAGTTTAATCTTGGTCACCCTAAACCTAGAGATTTTCACAGGCTGCATATATTGCACTAAGGGAAAACTAGCAAGAGGGCTAACCCTTATTTCAGGGCTCATACTTCTTATTAACCTCCAACTGCAAAGCAGCTCTCAGTCTGAAGATCCCAGCTGCCAGCCCTGCTGCGGCACGGGAGAGGATTGCTGATGCTCTCAGGAAAACAGTGAGTAAAGCTCACCAGAATGACTACTGTGAGAATCACTCTCTGCCCAGACTACAGACAGCACTGGAGAACAGGTTGTGCTCCTCATGTGGGAACACCCTCAGCCAGACCAGAGTTGCTCAATTCCTTCACATGACATCTCTATGTACTAACACTGAGCTGCCCAAGTATTTGCACAGAGACAAAAACTAGTCCAGGCACTGGGGATGCTCTGAGGGCCAGTGGCACAGCAGACAGCTGTCCACCAGGCAGTGCAGCACTTGCAGCAAAATATTTGTTTTTGCAATACCTGGCATAATATTTAACATCAGCAGGAGCAGCATAATACCCACTTACACACACTCCAGGGTTCATCTTACAGTCACTGTCGTGCTTTACCTTCCACACCTGATAGTGGCTTTTAGAGAGGATATTAGCAGCACTTCTAAGGGACACAGGATAAATGCTGTCAGCTTGTCACGTCAGTTGTCACAGACAAACTTTAGAGCTGCCTTTTCAGCAACAATTAACAGACATTTTGATTGCATTCATCTTGTAAGCAACGGAGACAGTACTTCTACTTGTACTGCAGTAACATCCGTTCTGGTGGGGACAAAAGGGCCAGGAACATTTCCCACATATTTATGCTTTTGAGACCACTTTCAGATCACTCATACCTGCATCAGATTAAATCTTGCCACCTCATTTATAGGAGCATCAGAAATGATCCCGTACTGCTCAGGGTTGACGATGGCAGGGCAGATGAAACAGGCCAGGAGAAGATCTGTGCACATTGCTCTGACCTCCCCAACCTCCAGCCTGTCCACACACGACAGCGTTTTGTACATCTGCGACACGATCCACCTCAGGCTGTGAGGGAAACAGTAAGTGTTTTGTTTGAGATAGCCAATGAACTTGTTGACCAAGGTCACCAGCTTGGCCTCGTTGGAGTCAACCATCTCTTGCACTCTCTGCTTGAACTTTTCTGTGCCTTTCTCCCCAAACAACTTTTCCTGCTGTGCTGGGGAAAATCTCTCGATTAGCTTGTTTGGATCCGTTTCCAGGTGGTCTTCATCTTCAACCAGAAGCTGCATGATGGGCTCATGTAAGGTTGCAGTGAGGAAAAGCTTTGCAGAGAAGAGTCCTTCAGAGAACAGCTTGAACAAGATGCTGAAGGCACAGGTGCCACGTCTCAGCAGCCTCCTGGGGTTGTCGCTCTCCTTGAGCTCGAACTCAATCAGGTAGCGCAGAACCTGCAGGAGGTAGCTCTCGTCCTCCTGCATGATGCAGTTGCCATAGATGGAGGTAAAGACCGTGTGGATGACACTCTGAGTGTTGTCCTGGTTGAGTTTCTCTCCGGCCACCAGGCAGGATGCAATGAGCCTGGGGTTCTCTCTCAGTCTGTTCAGGAACTCTCCATAAGCAGTTTCCTGAAACCCCAACTGCTTATACCCGTCCACGAACTGCGTGTCCTCCAGGATTTTGGCATGCTGGCAACACTCAGCAGGGGAAGCCTCAGCACTTGGAAGAGAAACATTGAAACAGTTTGAGTAACTCTTAAGTAAACAAACTGTCTAAGAGATGGTCAACTTATTAACCAGGCTACAGCCAGGGGAAAAACCTTCCCACAGAGTTAGCACAAATGATTTGCAAATTCAGGGGAGTCTGTTCCATGAACAGAAGCAAAACAAACACAGGTAATCAAAAAAAGTTGCCTGAAGAGACAACTTTGAGGTGCGCTGGACTCCCTGGCCGAGCTTTGCTGCCAAACCTGACCATTCTCAGCAGCACTGCAGACTCGGGTGAGACCCGCAGGAGCTCAGGGCTCTGCTGGCCCAGCCCACCCGCCCCAGGCACCTGGTGATGATCAGCCTGTCCAGGTTGATGCGCTGCTGCTTGGCGATCCAGGCGGTTCGGTAGAGCTTCTCGGCTGTCTTCAGCACCTCCGCGTTGAGCCGCTGGATCAGCTGCTTCTCGGCGCTCACATACAGCCGCTCCTGCTTCAGGTGGTGAGCCAGCGTGTGGATGTCCAGCTTCACCATCTTGGGCTCGGCACCCGCTGCAGAGAGGGGCCAGGTCTGTCACCCTCCGCAGCCACAAACCCTCCAGGCAGTAAATCCTGCCGTGCCCATCGCTGCAGTGTGTCCCCAAACCCACCCTGGGCCCACACCACTCCCCATTAACTGCCACTCTCGTCAGCCCCTGCTCTGTCAGCTCCTCGGGGACACAAATGGCACTTTCTGGTCACCCTGGGGAGCAGGACCCAGAGCAGCACTGCACAGCTCCTCACCACACCTCCACTACAGCAGGTGAGGACCTGGAGGGATGTGGCCCCTGCTATGCTTGGGGTGGCACAGGCTCGGGGAGATGAAGGTAAGTCCCATTCCCACTCCCTCACTGGCTGAGGAACAGGCAAAAAGGTTCCTGCACTATCTCCCTCAACCTACAGCCCATCCACGTAGCCCAGCACTACCCAAGGATGTGACTGCCCTTGTTTCTGGCCTCTTACCTCTCTCATCTATGCATCAGAAGCACCAAACTCCCAGTATTGCTCTGCTAAACATAAGAATATTACTAATCCAAACAACCCCAAACAGACCCAAGGAGTATCAATACCCAGACAGGCAGAGCCCGGAAATAAGTCTGGAAACTTCGCTCAATAGTAGAATTCATTCAGAAAAAAATTCCTCAAATAGTTCAATTCAGAAGACTATTTCCTTGGGCCACAATCCAAAAATGTTGCTTTAAAGAGAGAAGAACTGAAACAACCATAAGCTTTCATAGCACATCAGGGGCTGAAATCTACACAAACTACTGCTCTGCCTGAACATAACATCAGCTCTAACTTCACCATCAGAGAACGCCTCAGTTAGCAGTGCCACGACACTCAGGACACCTTCAAGGAGCAAATCCATCCCAAAATTAACTCTCTGGGAGAAAAACCATCAACTGCACCAATGCTGACCACGGAAGGAGCAAACCATGCAGGTCATGGAACTGAGGATTAACTGCTTTATGTCCTCCCCAGCAGAACTAACAACCACAGTAGCTAATTTGAGAAGAAAAAGGTTTGATCCAGACAACTTGTACAGACACCTGTGGGAAATGTCAGTAACAGACAGGTCAGAGCTGTCTGGGGCTCTGCTGAGGAATCCTTCCAAGCCCAACCAGAGCTGAAATAAAACTTACTTCCCACAACCTGCAGTGACTCTGGATGAACTTTGCTTCACAAACCAAATCAATCCACACTTGAGAAACCACAAATCATGTTCCCTGTGCTGGCCCAGTGCTCTCCCCTTCAGTACCTTAAAGATCTGTGGTTCACTGCTCAGCAGAGCAGGAGGTGATCCTCACTGAAGAATGCAGATTAGCTCCCTAATTAGGCACAGGGTTCCCATTTGTTGGGGGTTTTGCAGCCTGATAACCAGGTGCACTGACAACCATCACTGCTCCTCGTGTGATTAAGTGCTTTCACCTGTGGCTTTAACCTCAGCACCAGGACCCAGGCAGGGATGAGCAGAGGAGCTGTCACAAGTCTCTAAGCATAAAAATTTGCAATCTTATTCCACGTGATGGTTCAAAGACCATTCTCAGCAAACACAGACACCTGGGTATAGAAAGCTCTAAAAAATATCCCAAACTCAACCCCCCCCAAACCACCAACCCTAACGAAGAGGTTGCAGCTGCTGCATCCAAAGCTGAGGTTACCACAGGACCCTGAAGGACACACTAATTCCGATACTTTTAACTAGGACAGCCTGAGGGAAATGATTAGAAAAAGAAACACTGATGTTACTGCCCAAGCTGTTTGAAAAGAAGTAACAAGTTCTTGCAACAAATTTATTTTTAGTCCCAGAATTTAAGGGCTTGTAAAAACAACCCGAATTAAAGTTGCTACTGCTTGTGAACAGTGCACAACCAGTTATTAGCTGTGAGCCACTGCTGCTGACCAGGACAAAGCGGCACCCATAAAACCACACAAGACCTGCAGAGCTACCTTCTGGCTCTTCAGACACTTCCCACTGGAGGGAAGAGTTGCTCCTACTTGATCAAACCTGAAGTTTTAGTTGGCATTTCCCTCTGCTCTCCCTGACAGTCAGCCCAAGTGCTTCTCCTGCTTGTAAGCAAGTTTGGGGACCCACAAGTGTTGCCCTCCATGAATAGCCTGTTGACTTTCCCATGCTCCTGTGCCTTTGCCTTGCCAAATCTCAAAGCAGGCTCCTGTTTCTGTGTCACTGGGGCCAAACACACTGAACAGCAGAGGAGCTGATTCAGCAGCTCCTGAGGTGTCTCCTACACTTACAAGGGATTTCTCTCACTCTTTCACTCAAGGTCTTGTTCTGTTTTGTGACTAGGGAAGATGTTTGTAGCATCAAGGATGGGCTAAGCACTCAGAGCTCTCAGCCTCCAAGGAAGAGTCCTCTTCTTCCTCCTCTGCCCATGGGTGGGAGTGAGCTCCAAACAGCTCATCAGCAATAGGGACAAAGGTGTCCTGGAAACAAGAGACTTCGGTAAGGTTTGATTATCAAAATCGCAGTTACATTGCTGGTAACCTTTTCTGGAGCTATGGACAGTGAAAACAAAGAAGTATATAGAATCACATGGTCCTCAGGAAGCAAGTAAGGCTCCCACACAGTCCAGGGGCCTCTCACACGTGCATTCATCCACCTGTCCAGCAAAAAGAGGTCAGATGACTGCAGAGCAGCACTGTACCATGTGTGGTGCCCCCTGAAAACACCCAACAGCACAGGCCTCACACCTGCTTGGAAAGTGAAGAGAACACCCAGCAGAGGAACAATCTGGGCACCTCCTGACCACACAGCATCTTAGCATTGCACAGGCATCAACACCCTGAGCAGCTGGAGGACGTTTCCCACTGTGTGCACTCTCGTTTGTTGTGTTCAGCTGCCACCATGGATCTCAGGCCGAAAGAGCACCATCAGCTGCATCTGCACTCCTAAATATACTGGTCCTGTGACTACCTGATAACAAACATCCTACCAGTTGGCCATGACCCACATGTGTCTTATCTGCCTCTGGTGTAGAACAGCAGAAACAACGAGAGCAAGAGGAGAATTGGTTGGGAACTGAGCCCCAGCAGGTTACTATGTACCACTGCTTTGTCAACGACTGCAACAATCCAAGGGATTCTCCTGTCAATCCGCAGAAAACCAACTGCACCACAGCAGATTTCACCCTCCGTGCAAGGACAGGAGAACAGCAGCTTTCTCACCCGTGCAAACTCCGCAAAACCCAAACTGACTGGACTGTGAGGGCTGCTGGAGACTCACCTCCGTGGAGGAACACCTCCCCACTCCCTTTCACACTTCCTAAATTACTCTGAAGCCACACCAGCACAGCAACAGTGCACGCAACTCTGTCTTCACCTGAAGCCTCTGGCAGAGAGCTGAGCAGCCCAAGGTGTAGTTTAACACACATGGCACCTCAGCAGGGCTCAGTGAAGGAACCCAAAGCACCCAGCTGAACAGGATGCAGGTGCTATTCCCCTCCTCAGCTCTGGTACTACTGACACAGCCTGTCCTGAAATGAGAAACTGCTGTACCACTGACACACCTGTGTGACACACACTGCTCCTCCCCAGAGCCTCTTCCCTTTAGGAGGTGGAGAGGCAGTGGCTGCAGCCCCTGCCCAGGCCCACAGCCTCACTCCAGGCCAGCAGCCAGAGCAAAGCTTGGGGAGCTCTCAGGCACAGTTGGTGTTTGGTGACACTGCTGGGGCACAGTGAGTGGTGGCAGCTCTGGCAGCTCCAGCTCGTGCTAATTCCAGGACCTTATTTGTCAGAGCACCTTATCAGCTCCTCATAAACACAGAGGTGTCTGTGAGTACCCAGGACCTGGTTTAGGAGTACCACGCGCCGTGCACAAAGTAGCAGATGTCTGTAAGCAGCTGCACAAAGGAGACAGTTTAGGATACTTAGATACCCAACAGCCTGTTGTGGCTGAGGAGACAACAGATATCTTATGTGCAGATTGTTTTTCAGTCCTGGAATTTCATGTTGATATGAAAACATTTCCATTTCCTGTCAGTTACTTCAAGACTACTCAGGAACCTACTGGTAGCTGTGACACAGTGAGAGCAGCTTAGCTCAGCAACTCAACAATTTCCCTTCATGATGCTCCACATATCAACAACAAAGACTGCATGACCTGACAGCATCTGAGATGCCTTGCCCTGCTAGCAGCAGAAATTTGTGCAGAACCCAAGGCAATCTGCCCTTTGATGAGCACAGGGCATGGATTGCTTCCTGCTCTCAAAAGTCCTGGAAAACATGGTGTTGAATCTTTTTAGGTGCTGAACTTCACCTTGCAGAGCACATGGGTTTGTCCTGTGACATGCAGGAAGAAGCCACATCTCTGCTGAGTGTTTCTGTGATTCAGAGGACAGAAAAGACATGAAGCAAAGTGGTGAATACTGCTGGTACACCAGATTCCTCTTCCTCCTCCCGCGTTTCCTCCTCAGCCTTAGCTGCTCCTCCTCAGTCTCGCAACACAAGACAACTTCCAGAGCAAGTTTGGGCAGATTGAATGTAGGCAGGGCAGGGCAAGGCCAAATTGAAATCACCCAGTCTGACTGAAAAATAAGTCCTAAGCAAGCCCGAGTAGCTTCCAGGCTCACGCAGCCCTGACAGAGCACCTCTTTGCTCACCAACACTCACAGCAGCAGCTAACAAGCCTGGTTTCTTTCCATACAGCCTGTGTCCCACAGAGCAGCTCAGAGCCCTCTCTGCAGCAGGATGGTTCCCCAGGACCCAGGGCTTGGTGCTGAGCTCACTACAGCCCCCACCACCCCAAACACTCCTGCGACACGTGAAGCACGTTTCAGTTCACTGCAGTTCAACTATCTCATGGACATCCATAAGCAACTCATCTCTGAAGCTTGTGTTCTGCTCTGAGCCCAATCATGTGCAAGGAGCACCTCATTTCTTGTGCCCTGTCACAGACCTTCTCAGCAGTGCCCAGACCAGCTGGTTAATAAATTATATATTATGGCACGGCATAAAATCAGTACAGCCCATAACCAG